ATTCTAAACCAATAACAATGATTTTGATATGAATGTTATTGATTATGGTTTGATGGCTTTAGAAACATAGGTTTATAATAAATGTTTGATAAATAAATAAATTTTATAATTCAAAATAATCCTATTAATTATGAAATATTTTTTAAAATGGCATTTTATTCTATATAATTATAAGGAAGGATCAAGTGGCAATTTAGTGGAGAAAATAGATTTTTGTCATTATCATGAAGGTACTTAAAAATGTATTATTTTATTTTTACATATATACATTTATAGTTAGTTAAACAAATTTGATAGCAAATTACAATTTTGAAAAATAAAAAATAAGAATATATAATGTTTATTCAGATTTAAAATATATAAATACATAATTTAAGATAATAGAATAAATAAATATAATATTCATCTACATTATAAAAATAATTTTATTATATTACAAAAATATAAAATTTAGAAAAATATTCAGCAGCGTAACATGGGTAAATACCTAATTTCTATAATAAGCACTTGTTTTCGGTTAGACATTTCGAATATATAAAGTTTTGATTTTTAGGTATTCTTAGACTAAATAAAAATTTCTGCATCTATCTAGCTTCCGCTACAACAATTGATTTGCCACAATAAATTTTGACAATATCAACCTATCAGCAGATTTGTATGTGTTCTCACTTATTATTTGTACAAAGATATGTTCAAAATGATGTTTCGCTCATTTTGTATTTAAATACAAAATAAAACATAAACAGAAAGAAATACCATTTCTCATTCAAGATTATAAATTGTGTTTGGTAAAATAAGTTAAACGTTGTTTCTGGTTACAATCATATGAGAGTAACAATTTTGTTTAACTCTTAGTTATAAAGTCTAGCAATATTATATATTGCTGTCACAAGAAGAGAGCCATATATTTACGTGCCTTGCATGTAATAAAAAAGCGTTAACCTTAGTCTACCAAACTCCTTTTTCTTTTAATATATCCAATAATAGAAGTATTAATTTACAATGTCTTGCTCGGAAGCACCACTAAGATTTTTGTTTTCTATCTGGTCTGACAAACAAAGATCAAATGCATCTCCCCAAAACCACGGAGAAGGAGATCGTCGAGGATAATCTACGATTGAAATGTTTATGATTGAAATTGTAGGAGCAAATCCACTAACGTGCTTGAGAAATTCAAATTTCAATCTCGAGACTTTCATGAAATCAAATTCCAATAGCGAAATGAATTAGGAATTGGTTATGCTATTTTCGGAAAGATTTCTTAAAACTGAAGACAACAATTTAGGAATCGGTTGGGCCATTTTCTGAAAGACTTCCTAAATTTAATTAACAAAATCAATGAAATACATCAAGCCAAAAATTGGTGGAGTAATACTTTTACAGTCATGGCCACCTTATTTTCGTTGGAAAGTGTATCAAAATGTGTCATGTTTCACTATGTCTACAAAACAGAAAATTTTACAACTCATTTAGGAATCATTTCCAATTTTTAGAATTCTGTGATCTATGACGATTTAGGAAGCCTTCCTAACTTATACCTAGTAAAAGAAAATAATTTAGGAAGCCATCCTAACTTATACTTAGCAAAAAAAATGATTTAGGAAACATTCCTAATTTTTACCTAGTAAAAGAGAATGATTTAGGAAGCCTTCCTAAATTATAACCAACAAAAAATAATTATTTAGAAAGATTTCTAAGATAAAACTTGGGAAAGAGAAATAATTAAGCAAGCATTCCTAAGTTCTCTATTACGTTGTTAAAATTATAAAAGCTAGGAGTAATCATCGAGTAAACAACTCAATATTTGTATATGTTATACTAAAACAACAAGCCAAAATATATGCATACAAGCCGATTTAAAAACAGTTGCAAACATATAGGAAGATATTCATATACCTTCTTGGAATGGTCGAATATGTCGTCATCATCGATGGATTCCGATTGTAGTCGGCGGTGAAGCTCGAAGCTCATCTATTGTCGCCAAAGATGAATCTCAAAACTATCTTCGTTGTCAATTGTGGCCAATTGTCGCCGGTGAAGCTGGAAAATGATTCGTGAAACTATCTCTAGTTGTTGAGGCTGGGCAATTCTCCTCGTCGTCTTCTGTCGCTGATGATTGAATTCCGATTGTAGTCGGTGGTGAAGCTAAAAGATCATCGCCGGAGATAAATCGACAAAACTGTCTTTATCGTTGCCGGAGAAGATCAAAACGCTCGCGAATTCAAGCTTGAAGATGAATCGCGACTCCTCGTCTTCTTCTTCTTCTTCTGTCGTTAATGATCGAATTTGGATTGTAGACGACGGTGAAGCTAGAAGATCGTCGCCGGAGATGAATCAACGAAACTCTCTTCATCGTCGCCGGAGAATATCAAAATACGCGCAAATTCAAAAAGCTGAAAATTCAAAAAAAAACAGAGCACTTCTTCATTATTAAATAAGGGTAATTTGGTCAATCTCAAATGAAAAATGTTATATGAAGGAAATTATATAGCGTACAGTATATATGTGGAAACTATACTTAAAATAAGTGTATTAAAGGTCATTTCTCAAGAAAAAACTAGACACAATAATAATTCAAAATGTGATTCTATTAATTTTCTTTTTTACAAAATCATTAACCAACATTTTAAAGTCAATTTCTTAATCAGTTCTCTTTCAATAGATAAAGTTATCAATTGACTCAATCTTTCTTATAACATACTCAAGTGAAAATATGATTTTATTAATTTCAAACTATGAAAAATTTATTTCAGCAGATGTAAATAAGTAAACTGGATTAAGTATAGCAAAATTACTTTAATGATAAATTAATAAAGTTTGATAAACTCACTTGAATAGAGTATAGAGACAACAACAATATAAAAAAAAATCATAAACTCTTATCTTTTTAATCTCTTTATTTGAGTTTCTTTTAAGTTTTTTCTCTTTTTATTAATTAATATAGTTGTTATTTAGCTTAAATATATATAAAAATCTTCATTAAGCACATAAGTGTATTTCAAATATATTATTTGTCTACTCCTTTTGGAAAAGATAATTTACGCTATGGCTTAATATCAACAACAACCCATTTCCGATCTATGGAAATGTACAGGCTTCAGCCTAAAAATTCTTGATATTCAAAAAAAATACATAAATATATATTATTTATGGAATTAATATTTTATATTATTCAAATATATAATTAATCCTATTGTACTCTTTAAATAAATAAAAATAAATATGTTTGTACTACAAATATTTATGTAATATGATAAGATTATATTTATAATTTGAGTTTTGCAATATTTTTAGATTTTTATGTATTTTGTATAGAGAAATTTTAAAAAAAAAATTACAATAAGAAATAAAGTATTTTTCTAACTATGTTCAAGTTATGTAATTTTTATAATAATTAATGTAATTATTAATATTTTAATTTTTATATATATTTTGTATATTTTGAAGGTCTATGAATAGCTCTCTCCTCACTCATTTGTAGCTTTCATCTTCTAAATTTCTCCAAACTGGGAATACTCTCCAACAAGATTTCCAGAGATCAAGTGAGGCCTGGGAGATCTACGCCCACCATGGTTCCCTATCTCTCTCTCAGTCTCCCTAATGACTATAGTTTCACAGTCAGTGCATGATCTTAGATTTTTTTTGTTACTAGTCAAATATTCCACATTAATGCGATGGACCAGCCATACAGTTCGCTAGTAGAGCTAGGACCTTTCTCCCCAAGATCAGTTTGCTAGTAGAGCTACAACCTTTCTCCACAAATATTTCACGAAAAAATATTACGTCAGAAATATGAATACATAAACTTTTTGCCAAAACAATAATGTGGAATACATGATTCGCCATTATATGTGGAATACATGATTCGCCAACTTGCTTGGCCTACGAACAAAATCCACATATTATATGTGAGACTTTTCAATATTTAAACTTCCAATAAGTTGGCAAACGAACAAAATCCACAATTATATGTGAGACTTTTCAATTAAGTTCTATGAAAAAAAAGAGATTGGGATTTGAATGTGTTATCACAATATGTTAAATGTTCAAGATGTTGTTTCAGTTGATAGTGTTATGTTCATTTTGTAAGCAAAATAAAAACAGAAGCTACCGGGGAAGGGGAGAGAGAGAACAAAGTAAAGGTACGAACAAACTATGATTGTCTGGTTGTGAGCCATTGGCGAACTGTACGACTCCTGAAAACGGCTGATTCCTCTTTGAATTTATAAATTTCTAACGATTAATATATGACCTATGAATTAATATCAATAGCTACATGGACTGTTTGAAAACTTTGAAAATATTATATGAATTAACAATATATAGTCAGATTCCACCAAAATTATATATAATTTTAATTGCAGCTTTAAGGAGTGATGACTATAATGACACGTAAATATCTGAAATGGTATTGTTTTAGTGGAAAAAATGGTTAATGCCCTTATAAATTTACAAATTATGATTCATATATAACATATAAATTAATAATTACATGAATTATCTAAACTTTTGAAAACATTAAATAAACTAAAGAAATATGGTCGATTCCAAAATTATATATTACGTTAATTGCAACGTTAGTAATTGCTGATTAGGATGATACATAAAAATTTGAAACGATATTAATTTAGTAAATATAATCTAAAGTATCCAAAAAATCAATGTTTTATTTTTGGTTTAAATTTATATATTTAAAATTTATTTATTATATATATATATTTATTAATTTTGGGTTCAGGGATTTTGATTTCGATTATCATCCAAATCTACTGTTTAGCTATGACTTCCTTTTCAACAAGCCACTTCGTAAGGTCATCTCCTCCTTTAAAGCGACTTAATTTGGGTCAACCAGGCCACCAGATTATTCCTGTAACCAAAGACGAAGACCACGATCATGCCCAGTCGTAAATGAAGAAGAAAAAGAGAAATGATTATTTATAAGTACTTATTTCGTTAGGAACTGTCAACTGCATGTTGACTATTTCGGTCAGAGTAAACCAGTTTTGATCCTTCTCCGTCATTGCCATTTTTTTTAAACACTTATATTTTATACTTTGAAAGTCTTTAAATATGTAATAGCTCCTCTCCTCACTCATTCAAACAGCTCCTCTCCTCACTCATTTGTAAAATATTTTATACTTTGAGAGTTTTTAAATAGCTCCTCCTCACTCATTCAAATAGCTCCTCTCCTCACTAATTTGTAAAAATATTTTATACTTTGAAAGTCTTTAAATAACTCCTCTCCTCACTCATTTGTAATAGCTTCCATCTTCTAAATTTCTCCAAAATGGGAATCCTCTCCAACAAGATTTCCAGAGATGAAGTGAGGCCTGGAGATCACATCTATTCATGGCGTACTGCCTACCTCTACGCCCACCACGGTTTCACAGTCAATATAATGCTCGATCAATCTTAGTTTTTTTTTTTGTTACTGATCGAAAATCCCACAATATTAACGTGATTTCTGTTGCAGGAATATATGTTGACGATGGACTAGTCATAGAGTACATTCGTGGTTCATCAACAAAGCTTCCGTGTCGAATTTGCAGGGGCCGTTCGAGATCCGGTGGTGTGACTTCCTCTTGCCTTGATTGCTTTCTAGGCGGAGGAAATCTATACCGCTATGAATACAATGTCTCTAAGGCTGCCTTGTTGGCCAAAGTTAGAGGCGGTACTTGCACAACAGCAACTTCGGATCCTCCTGAGGATGTTCTTTACCGTGCAGACTTCCTCTTAAGGGAAAACGGGTTTGGTGTTTATGACCTCTTCGAGAACAACTGTGAAACTTTTGCTATCTATTGTAAAACGGGCTTGGTGTCGTGCGAAAAAAATAGGTTGGGGATAAGTAGTGGTCAATCCACTTCGTTTGTTGCAGCTGCTGTCGTTGTTGCCTTACCTGGGCCCGGCTTTTGTGCGTACAACGTTGCTCGTCTGATTAGTGACATAGGCATGCGCGCAAAGAGAGGCGACGATGGTGTTAACAAGGTTCCTGTTGAAGAGCTCGTTGATATGAGGAACGCTGCTTGAGCATTGCCAGTTGTGACTTGTGACTATATGGTTGAAGATCCCTAGTTGATTCTTGCTTATTGGATCGAAGTCACAAACTTAATCAATTTTTATTTGTGTATCAAAACTTAAGTATATGATTTTAGTATGATAAACTCAATATATATATACGAATATATTATGCTCTAGAGCCCAATCCTATCATTTAGTTCCGACTGAAAAGTTTACATATAAAAAATCTGAATGTGTGTGTATATATATATATTCAGGGGCGGATCTATGTTATAGGTGGGTGGGGCATATGTTTGATACTAAATCTATAAATAATATATATATATGTAATACTAACAGTTTAACAACTCAGTTGATTTTGAAGCTAAAATATTTTTTATATAAATCTAAATTCAATCTTTTCCATGTTCTTCCTTTTCTAATTTTATTTATTGATTTAGTTTTATTTTTCAAAAAATTAATGAAAACTATAATAATTTATGTTATAATTTTTATTGTAGCTAAATTATTCTTTATATATGCTCAATTCAATCTTTTTCTATGTTCTTTATTGTTCTTTTTCCAATTTTTTTTATTTATTTAGTTTTATAAATTTTCAAAAATTAATAAAAACTATAATAATTTATGTTATAATTTTTAATAATTATAATATATTTTAATTAAATTAATTATATTAAAAATTTACGTATGTTGTGCCCCATATATAATTATTTTATGCGCCCGCCCTAATATATTAGAGTCTTTATTTTGTACAAAAATCAATACATCAAATATTGTTTGACACATAACTTACAAAGAGCTTTTAAATAGTGTAAAACGACTTTGTGCAAAACTAACTAGCCAGTCAAAATTTACTTTAGAAGAAGCGAAATTGTATGAAATTTCGAAACTAGAGTGCCAAATTGCCTGATTGAATTTTCATTTTTAACGATGTTTCATAGCTCAGGGTAATATTGAGTGAGAACGATCTAAATAAGATGGGGATATGAACTATTCAACGAGCACGACCAGTGTCGTGTGGATAAGGTAATGAAAGCTAATGTCCAAACATAGACATATCCCTACACTATTCACGCCTCTCCACATTTAACAACTTTCATATATCCTTATTTTTTCTTGATAAATTAGAATTTTTTTTTTTTACAAAATAAATTAGAATGTTCATGTACGATCATAAATACTTCACAGCTACTCTCATCAAAGTAACTAGAATGAATTAAAATTATCGTGCAAAATAAACAAGGATATTGTCCAAATAAATAATTAAATATCAAGACGCTTAACTTGCCATCAAATGGTTGAGAAAAAAAAAAAATGTCATCTCGCTTGTTGTCGTCGAACCAATCTAACTACCACCTCAAGATTTTTTTGTAAACGGTTGTTCTTTCTTAACCACCACATCAGGTTAAAATCCTTTTTTTGTATTGATACAAAAATACGAAAATGAAATTTTATGAAGGAGAAATATATACAAATTTCAACCAATTATAATATAAAAGATACCATTGTGAAGGAGTATCATTTTTATGAGGCATAGCAGAGAACTGCGCAATGGTGACACTTGTCCGAATGAGATCGCACTGCACGTATCATTTCAGAGTATCCATATTGAAGAACCCAACATGGGATCCTTAATTATATTTTAATATTAAATATATTATTAATTTAAGTTAAGAACCTTATTAACTTTTTTTTTAATTTTGAAATCTACATCAAAAACTCTATAAATTCTTAAAAATAAAAATAAAAAATTTAACTTGTTTAACTTCATCCTACATCATTTGTTTAACTTCTCACATTAGAAACTAAAACCAGAGATGTATTAAACAAAAAACAAGCAGAGAGGGGATGAAGCTAGAAGCAAGAACATAACCTCTTCTTTATACTTCTCAAGAATCTCGAGCAATTTAGATTGAGTAGCAGGTGGGAACTGCTGGATACCGATCCATTCACGTGACATCTGCAAATCTGCCATACACACAAATCATTGTCCTACACTTTGAGGAAAGAAAAAAAGAAAAAGAAAAATTGATTGAGTATATCATACTAAAATCATATACTTAAGTTTTCATATACATAAGTTCCCATATGAAAATCTGTAGGGCATTCCGTAGAAGATGAATATCAGATGAAATACGTTGTTAGAGGGGAAATGAGCACATTTCATAAAATGTCTTCCCTCGCAATAACCTAAGTCCATCAAGACCAGAAAGACCGCGCCGACCTAGCTCGGATTAAAAGAAAACTCTTAAAAGATAATTATCGAAGACCGGAAACATCAGATTAGCTCAAAGGATAAAGAAGAATTTTCATATTCTTCAGAGAATAAGGGATATTTCCATATCGTAGATACGGAGATATTAACAAAAGACAAAAGGAAAAAGAGTTCGGATCAACCGACCTCCTATTCCTATAAATATAAAGATCTCGAAGCCTGAAAGAGCAACTCATACATTCTTGAGAGCAGCAGAGCTAAAACCAGAGACCCCAACGCTTTCTAGTTTACTTCACAAACTTTCTTTTCACCTCGGCATAACCTCTCAGTTATACTTTTTCTTTGTAATCGCTTCGCTTACTTGCTATTAATAAAAATACCTTATCCTCCGAAACCCACAACTGTTAATCAAACCCTAGTGGTGATTTTCTGGTTCAACAGTTGGCGCCGTCTGTGGGGACTAGGAGAATACATTCTTAAAAACTAAGCAAGAAAAGACCGAAGCGATGAGTCTTCCAATCGACAACAGCGATCTCATCCGCGATGACGATGACACCACCACTCACACCGAGACACCTGCTCTCGGCGAACGTACCAAATCAACTACCGCGAATCCACCCACGGGAGCACCCCCAGCTCTCCTCCAGGCTATTGACCTCGCAGCAGCTATACAGGCCGCCATGCAGCCACTCACACAGGACTTGGTGTCCAAACTAGACATCCTCCAGGCCCAGCAAGCCAAGTACGACGAGCAACTCAGCGCCTTTGCAGCCGCGACCACCGCAAGATCAGAGCCGATCGGGAGACGTTTAATTTTCGAAACACCAGAGCACAACAACATCAGGGGCGCAACAGCGGACGATGAGGAGCCGACTGGCAAACTAAATTCCGAGATCGCAGGACTTCACCAGCGAATCAACGCGATCGGATCCCAAGTCCATCGAGCTACCAGCTCGGCACTCGAGATCTCAGCCATTCTCTCCGATGCCGAACGCAATCCATTTGCCCCGCGGATCACCAACGTCCGACTTGGTGAGGTGATCAAACTAAAGCTCCCATACTACAATGGGATGGAGGATCCCAACCTATGGCTGACCGGATTCAACGTCGCCATGAAGAGGCAACGGTTCGAGATCGACCTCGAACGCGAAGCCAACCACTGCCAAACTTTTGTAGAACACCTCAACAAGGATGCTTTGAAGTGGTTCTCTAAGTTACCTCCGGCCTCGATCAAATCCTTCAAGGATCTGACCCATGCCTTCATCAAACATTATTCCATATTTATCACAAAGAGGACGGTCAACCTGTTCACTCTAGTGCAAGAGCACGACCAACCACTCCGCAACTTCATCAAAAAATTTAAGAATGCCGCCGCGATATACGGGCAAATCCCTCAACACGCAGCGTCCACCATCACTTCCTCCTCACACCAATTATCATCGTACGCAGCGAATGCGGACAACAACCTACTATCAGAAAACACAAAAAACAAGAAAAAGGCGGATAGCACAATCATCGGGTAAATAAAAATTATTTGAGCTATCAATTGGTTCGCCGAAGAGATCGAATTCGCCAGCTTCAATTCACGAAGTGGCTTAACCCATCGCGGCTTATTCCTGCACTTCCAGATCAAGTCTGCGGCAAAATTGCGATCAAGCATCGCCGGAGTATTCCCGTCCCATCTCGCACAAAAATGATGAGGATTATAGTCAAAAGACTCTTCCTCCTGCTTAGGCTCGACCGGAACACTTGACTCGGCGCCGCCTGAAGCCTTTTGAAAAGGAGCAACCTCCTCAGGAGCGCTAGGGACAGCATCTTCCGCATCCGAAGCCAACTCAGGCAGGCTCGACCCTTCATAATGAGCCACATCGGGCTCCTCGGTCCCATCCTGATCTACGTCTTCAGCAACATGTGTCCCGGAGCTTCGAGACATATCTGTTCGAGGCGATGAATAAACGTCCGCCTGAGGCACCGGAGGAACAGCAACTTGAGGTAAGGATAAAACAGTCTCGTGGCGGCTCCCGTCGACGACAAAAGCAACCCCGTCACCATTACCCGGGGCCCAAGAAGCAGGAGTTTGGGACGGTTCACCCTGAGAACCTCCTGCGGCTCTCTCAGCCCGCATCTTCCTCAACCTCTCCAGCGCCGCCGCCCTGGAGAAACTAAAAAAAAAACAACAAATAAACCACACATGTCCAAAACCTCCTCGGCACGGTACGATAAACACGCGAAGCAAAAAAAAAAAAGAGAATCTACCTCGCAAGAGTCTCAGTCTCAGTAGTTACTTCGGCGTCGTCAAAATCCACCAAGCAAGGCAGATCCTGGGAAATTGTCTTGTTCTTCTTTACAGAAGATCTCCCAGGAGCATCTGCGACACCGGGTGAAGCCGCCTTCCTTTTTCTCCGACAAGCCTCTGCAGGCTTCGGTTGCGAGACCCTTCGCAAAGCTAAAATAATAAACATGTCAATAAAATCAAGCACCAGTCAATACTGCTCTAATTTATCAACCTACCTGCTTTCAGGGGTTTGGCCTTCTTCTTGGCAGGCTTAACCGCTTTCTTTCTAGAAGCCTCCTTCTTCTCTTTCTCGGCCCATAATTACCGGCTCAGATCGCGCAGCTTCTTGACATCGTCACTAAACCCGATTGGGTCATCTCCCAGACGTATCGCACTACAATAGCAAATACACATTAGTACCTAGCGAATCGCCAAAAAAAAGAAGAAATCAGAAATTCCATTCTCCTTACATGGTGTCGATCTCCAAGTTCTGAACAGGGTGAGACGGAACCACCAATGGATGCATCGTTAATCTTCACGAGGAAGAAAAACCAATCCCATTCGTGGACCTTGCTCGTCGGGTCCCCGCCAATGATTCCCTCCTTCATCATGGTGTAAAAATGGCGCCACCTGCCACGGTTCACCCTTCCTCTCTTCAGGATGGATACCCTCTCAAAAATGTCCCAGTTAAAGGGAACCATAGCCGCGCGAGCTACCACCGCCAAGCTAATAAAATGGCGGATCACGGCATGGGTAAGCTGTGCCACCGACATCTTCTTCTGATAGCAGTAACAAAGAAGCAGCGAGATCGGGAACTGAAGGCCAAACTCCGCGAAATGACACTCGTAAGAGCAGAAATAATCCTCTGGGGGTGTGGTCACTCTCTCGTATACCTGAGGATGTAACAGCTCAACCTCCTCGAAAAAACCACACTTCGAACAAAGTTCTTGAAGTCTTTTCGCGGTCATCCAAGTCCTCCCGTCTTTAATGCCGGTCC